CCTCCTCCTCCTCCTCTTCCTCCTCGATAAACGTGTAAAGACGACGATATACTTATATTTGCATTTCCACTGCAAGTTCCTCTATGAGCATTACCATAGGGCTATGAACGCAATTGGATCAGTTTCATTTCGACGCTTCTCCTCCCGCCTCGATTAACATGGGACACCCGCTAGAGGCAAACATTTTGATGACGTTAGGCTGTTGTAGGAATCTCGTTTGCACTGACGACAAAAACATTTCAATAACGGAAATATATAGGAAATATCTGTATTTAGGTCAATAATAAATAAAAAGTAGATTGTAAATATAAGGATTGAATGGCTTTTTTCGGAAAAACAATCCGTTCAATCCTTATGAAAAGACAGTGTCTACATGGTTTAAGAGTATAAACAATAGACGATAGAGATTTCAATAGTTATGTATGTCACGATGCTTCAGTAAAGCACTTGTAAATAAAGTAATAAGAATGTTATTGTCAGTTTGCTTTAACTGACTTCACAAATAATTCTTTCAAATGTTCTGATACATAGTGTCATGTGTTTTTTTTATCTTAATTAATGTTGGTTACGAACGATAAGTTAAAGACTGAGTAGAAAGCTACATCAAAATTAATAAGGACGAGTACAGCAGCAGTGTCGTCCTCGACTACGCTTATTGTTTTAATAGTGCATCCATAATTCCTGGTCTGACTACTAGTAAACTACCACTAGTGAATTATCATTAATAAAATATCACTTACATGTTGACATTAAGCGAGCTATCTTTTTGTGTGATATACCGTCCCAGGCGAGTCACGTAAAACTACATCTCACTCCAAGTATTAATGACTTAATATTTTTTTTGGCGAATTCGAGAGAACTTGAGTGCGTAAATTCTACTAAGGTAAAGAGGCCGGTATCTGATAGGAAGACAACGACACGGAAAAAGATTCTACTATTCGTGCACGTGTTAGGCTAAAGATAGAGTAGCTATGGGTTTGGATGTTCAAATTAAACAGTTATTGATATATTCTGATGTTTGATAATCTATATTTAGATTACGGTCATTCTGGATGCGGCAGTCCATCTTATTTGACCAGTAACTACGGTCGTATCATCTCTCAGAGCGGGTATGGATCGTCACTCTCTAACTACGGAAACAATCAAGATTGCACGTGGAGGATTAACGCTCCGACTGGTAAGGTTATCAGGCTTACCTCAGCAGATTTCCACCTGGAGGACGATGCCCAGTGAGTACAGTGCTCATTCTGAATTAATGTGTAAAAGAATTAAAGTCAAGATGAAGTGTTTACCCCAATAAACAATTTACCGAAAGTTTATTGAATTAAAAAAGAAACATCTGTTTGAGTTATGTGACTTCTAGATTAAATAAACCAGAAAAACGAGAATAAAATGTTTATAAATTCAAAGTTACTCCTCTTGTATGGTGGCCGAGCAACGATTACACGAGAAATTGATCACAATTAAAATTTTGAACAATTTACATAATTCATTAACGATGTATTATTTGGCCTAGCCATTATGAATTCTGTGACATATGTCGTATATATTCAGTGATATATGTCGTATATATTCTGTGACATATGTCGTATATATTCTGTGATATATGTCGTATATATTCTGTGATATATTACGTATATATATTCTGTGATATATGTCGTATATATTCTGTGAAATATGACGGATATATTCTGTGATATATGTCGTATATATTCTGTGATATATGTCGGATATATTCTGTGATATATTACGTATATATATTCTGTGATATATGTCGTATAAATTCTGTGATATATGACGGATATATTCTGTGATATATGACGGATATATTTTGTGATGTATTCGCATATATTCTGTGATATAGGACGGATATGTTCTGTGACATATGTCGTATATATTCTGTGACAAATGCCGTATATATTCTGTGATATATGACGGATATATTCTGTGATATATGTCGTATATATTCTTTGATATATGTCGTATATATTCTGTGATTTATGTCGTATATATTCTGTGATATATGACGTATATATTCTTTTATATATGTCGTATATATTCTGTGACATAGGTCGTATATATTCTGTGATATATGACGGAGATATTCTTTGATATTTGACAGATATATTCTGTGATATATGTCGTATATATTCTGTGACATATGTCGTATATATTCTGTGATATATGACGGAGATATTCTTTGATATATGACAGATATATTCTGTGATATATGTCGTATATATTCTGTGATGTATGTCGTATATATTCTGTGATATATGTCGTATATATTCTGTGACATATGTCGTATATATTCTGTGACAAATGCCGTATATATTCTGTGATATATGACGGATATATTTTGTGATGTATTCGCATATATTCTGTGATATAGGACGGATATGTTCTGTGACATATGTCGTATATATTCTGTGATATATGTCGTATATATTCTGTGACATATGTCGTATATATTCTGTGATATATGTCGTATATATTCTGTGATATATGACGGATATATTTAGTGATGTATTCGCATATATTCTGTGATATAAAAACGAATATGTTTTGTGATACATGACGTATATATTCTGTATTATATAACGTATATAATCTGTAATATTTGACGTATATTTTCTGTGATATATGTCGGATATATTCTGTGACATATGTCGTATATATTCTGTGATATATGTCGTATATATTCTGTGATATATGTCGTATACATTCTTTGACATATGTCGTATATATTCTGTGATATAGGACGGATATGTTCTGTGACATATGTCGTATATATTCTGTGATATATGACGGATATATTCTGTGACATATGTTGTATATATTCTGTGATATATGTCGTATAAATTCTGTGACATATGTCGTATATATTCTGTGATATAAAAACGAATATGTTATGTGATACATGACGTATATATTCTGTGATATATGACAGATATATTCTGTGTTATATAACGGATGTATTCTGTGGTATAGTATGTATAAATTCTGTGACATATAACGTATAAATTATTCTGTGATAGAATACGTATAAATTCTGTGATATAGTACGTATATATTCTGTGATATATAACGTATAAATTCTGTGATATATTACGTATATTTTCTGTGATATAGGACGTATACATTCTGTGATTTAGTACGTATATTTTCTGTGATATGATACGTATATTTTCTGTGATTTAGTACGTATATTTTCTGTGATTTAGTACGTATATTTTCTGTGATATAATACGTATATTTTCTGTGATACATAACGTTTATTTTCTGTGATACATAACGTATAATTTCTGTGATAAATAACGTTTATTTTCTGTGATACATAACGTATATTTTCTGTGATACATAACGTATAATTTCTGTGATAAATAACGTTTATTTTCTTTGATACATAACGTATAATTTCTGTGATACATAACGTATATTTTCTGTGACTCCATTTCCGCTTTCAGATGTAGCTATGACTTCCTTGCGATATATGACGGTTCCTCGTCCGGAGCCAAACTCATAGGAAAATTCTGTGGTAGTAACTCTATCAGCGTTGTGTCCTCAGGCACCCATCTGTTTCTCGAATTTATCACTGACGACAGTAGTCACTTCTCCGGATTCCAGATAAACTACAGGTTTATCCAGTCGACAAGTGAGTGCCTTTCGATTACAGATATCTCTTTTTTGCTCATATATCAGTCTATTGCTGTGATAAACCCGATATCTCGATTTCTCTTAGAGCAACTCGACGTGACGGACCTGTCTATTATTGATTGATGTACAGTGGATAGTGACAAGAAGGTCGAAGCATTTCGGTTATTTTTTTCTAGCTGCATATGAACTTTTAGAAGGAAGTTCCAAATCTTCCCGTCTATTTCAATGATCTTAACAAATGAAAGCGATGTTTATAATACAGTGTCTTCCTTTAGGTTCCTGTGGTGGAACGGATCACATGTGTCCCAACCACCAGTGTATACCTCACAGCTTTCTCTGTGACGGTGACAACGACTGTGGGGATCACAGCGACGAGGCTACCTGCTCCAGTTCCGGTTCCGGTAAAATACTCACTATACCTTAGTGTGTTGTCAGGGCAGTTTAACCTACTGCTCGACACACTTATTAAATCACACAACTGAATAGTTTACTGTGTTGTACTACTACCAAGAATTATCCCCCCTGACTCCAACTGAATTTCAACGGAAACAAATTTTCATCATTGATAACAATACAAGCTTGCGGGACCAAACTTGCCTGAGAATAGATACAAATATAGGTATAGCTATCTAGCTGCAACTGCTACGAAGTAAACTAGAAAATAATGTATTATACTGTCTATATACACAGAGTCTCCGAGTCCATATAGAATAACACCAAGACAAAACGTAATGCTTCATAAGCCGTTAAAAGGACAGACGAAATCATAACTGAGCATAGCACCAGCACGTACGTCTTTAATACACGCTCATTGTTGAACTGAACCTGATTGGTTGGTCTGTTAACGCGAGATTTCTGTCTATCATTTTAAACTGATGTGTAGTATTGATTGACTGCGGCTTCAGCTGGTTATGGAGAACTGATACTGTCAGCACTCCTTTATACAAACTGACTGATCGCTATGGTACTATTCCCCAGGTTCACACTGATCGGTATAGTACTATTCCCCAGGTTCACATTGATCGCTGTAGTAGTATTCTCCAGGTTCACACTGATCGGTATAGTACTATTCTCCAGGTTCACACTGATCGGTATAGTACTATTCTCCAGGTTCACACTGATCGGTATAGTACTATTCTCCAGGTTCACACTGATCGGTATAGTACTATTCTCCAGGTTCACACTGATCGGTATAGTACTATTCTCCAGGTTCACACTGATCGGTATAGTACTATTCTCCAGGTTCACACTGATCGGTATAGTACTATTCTCCAGGTTCACACTGATCGGTATAGTACTATTCTCCAGGTTCACACTGATCGGTATAGTACTATTCTCCAGGTTCACACTGATCGGTATAGTACTATTCTCCAGGTTCACACTGATCGGTATAGTACTATTCTCCAGGTTCACACTGATCGGTATAGTACTATTCTCCAGGTTCACACTGATCGGTATAGTACTATTCTCCAGGTTCACACTGATCGGTATAGTACTATTCTCCAGGTTCACACTGATCGGTATAGTACTATTCTCCAGGTTCACACTGATCGGTATAGTACTATTCTCCAGGTTCACACTGATCGGTATAGTACTATTCTCCAGGTTCACACTGATCGGTATAGTACTATTCTCCAGGTTCACACTGATCGGTATAGTACTATTCTCCAGGTTCACACTGATCGGTATAGTACTATTCTCCAGGTTCACACTGATCGGTATAGTACTATTCTCCAGGTTTGCACTGATCGCTATGGTAGTATTCCCCAGGTTCACACTGATCGGTATAGTACTATTCTCCAGGTTTGCACTGATCGCTATGGTAGTATTCCCCAGGTTCACACTGATCGGTATAGTAATATTCCCCAGGTTCACACTGATCGCTGTAGTAGTATTCTCCAGGGTCACACTGATCGGTATAGTACTATTCTCCAGGTTCACACTGATCGCTATGGTAGTATTCTCCAGGTTCACACTGATCGGTATAGTAATATTCCCCAGGTTCACACTGATCGCTGTAGTAGTATTCTCCAGGTTCACACTGATCGGTATAGTACTATTCTCCAGGTTCACACTGATCGGTATGGTACTATTCCCCAGGTTCACACTGATCGCTGTAGTACTATTCTCCAGGTTCACACTGATCGGTATAATAATATTCCCCAGGTTCACACTGATTGGTATAGTACTATTCTCCAGGTTCACACTGATCGGTATAGTAGTATTCCCCAGGTTCACACTGATCGCTGTAGTACTATTCTCTAGGTTCAAACTGATCGCTATAGTAGTATTCTCTAGGTTCAAACTGATCGCTATAGTACTATTTTCCAGGTTTAAATTGATCGCTATAGTAGTTTAACAGGTTCACAAGGTTCGCTATAATAGTATTTTCCAGGTTTAGACTGATCGCTATACTAATATCCTCCAGGTTCACAGGCGGGTAGCTGTCTCTTCCAGATTGTCATTTGGAGACAAATTAACTTAGTGTAGTATTTTACCTTTATTATTCTCCCTACAACGAAGTTAGGGGAGTATACTTGAATCAGCTTGTCTGTCCGTCTGTCTGTCCGTAGAAAAAGTTTGTCCGGACAAGTCCTTCTAAAGTAATGGACCGATTTCAACGAACTTTCCAGATATGATAACCACACATTAGGTTGTGCATCCAGGTATTATTTTTCTTTCTGACCCTTATTTACGAAGTTATGGCCCTTTGTTAAAAAAAACCGGAAACGTTTTGTCCGGACAACTCCTTCTACAGTTATGGATCCATTTCAACGAAACTTTCCAGATATGATAATAACCAGTCATTATTAACCCAATCTGATCCCTTTTTACGGAGTAATGGCCCCTTGTTGAAAAAAAACTTCTCCAGACAACTCCTCCATGACTATGCTCCAAATTTCTAAGAAACTTTTCAGATGTGATAACTACCACCTAAAGTTGTGAATCCAGGTATTTGTTTTCCAACCCTTTTTTATGGAGTTATGACCCTTTGTTGAAAAAACCTTGTCCTGAAATCTCGTTCATCTGGCATGAGCTAACAAGGTTTGGTCTGCAAGTATTTTTTGGCATTGAGAGGGAGTACAGGAAGTATGTGAGTGACCTGTATACTAAAATCAGTGTACAGCTCCGCCAATAAAGAAATCATTACTGGTGGGAGACTATATTGCTTTGCCTTAGTAAGCCTTTAGCTTACAGTTCTGGTTTATATAGGAGCGGGGGTATTAGTTGGCCTTTGGTTTACAGTTCTATTTTGTGTTATTTCCTATTGAAGCATGAAAACATATAGTTACAATATGAAACAGTGTGAACGGAAATGACTGATTCTTACCACTTTACTAAACCGACATTCAATTCAGTTTGAGCGGTTTGTCATTTTGAGTGGTTTGTCGGTAGATATAAATGTTTTGTAAGAACACTTACTGAAAGCATTCTCTTTTCGAAATCTAAAATACAACGATTTAAGTCGGCCAGTTTACTAGGCAACCAGATTACCATACTCCGGGGGAGTTTGAATTAAAAAAAACATAATGTTATGATATTGTAAAAAAAGGCATAATGTTGTTTTGTTTTTCAGCGAATTGCGACTCAGATGAGTTTGCATGTCCTGATCACTCATGTATCCCGTCGACATGGAAATGTGATGGCGATAACGATTGTGGGGATAACTCTGACGAGCACAATTGCCAAAGCACAACCTCGAACCCTTCCACGGGTACATTCACGCCTGTAGGTGATTCAGGGTGTGGAAACAAGGCAGACAATAACGGTACTTCCGGTAGCTTCAGCAGCCTTAACTATCCTAACGATTACTCTCCTAGTATGTCGTGTCGCTGGGTAATCAACGTGCCAGCGGGAAAGGTAGGTCACGCCGTCACCGTCGTCATCATCCGGGCACTGTAACGTTAACAAGAGATAGCTCAATGGATGTGTTTTCTCTAGTTAGTTAGTTAGTTTACATATTTAAAAGTGGATTTTTATAAATAAAACAGATTTCTTACATATTGAAAATAGCACAGGGAAGAACTCGGTAGTTTTAGCTCACCTGGCCCGAAGGGCCATGTGAACTTATACCGTACTGCGGCGTCCGTCGTCCGTCCGTCAACTTCTTCTTTTGAATGACTTCTTCAGAAGAACTGGAGGACATAGGGTCACGAAATTTGACCAATAGGTAGATGGGATGGAGTGCCATAAAGTTTGCTCATTAAAATAACATTGACTTACTTTCAAGGTCATAGGGGTCAAATATGTTAAAATATTCAAACAACAAGGTTTAAAGGACCATAAGGACTAGAGTCATGATACTTGGATATGTTATGTAGATCAGGAGTGCGAACATTTCCTTTATTACAGTAATGAGGCCAAAGGTCAACTCTAAGTGCTAGTCAGGGGTCAAAGGTCAACAGGTGTTAAAAGCTTTAACAATCTTATTCTCAAGTTCCATAAGGCCCAGGGTCATGATATTTGGCCAGTAGGTAACTGGGATGGAATGCTCCTCATTAAAATGACATTGACCTAGTTTCAAGGTCACAGAGGTCAAACATGTTAAACATTTCAAACAACGATAACTTAAGAACCATTTGATCTAGAGTCATGATATATGGGTATGTTATGCAGACCAGCTGTGTGAATCGTTTTCTTTATAACAGTAATGTGGTCAAATGTCAACTTTAAGTGCTAGCCGGAGTCAAAGGTCAACGTGGGTTAAAGCTTTAAAATTAAAATTTCACATTTCAAGCAACAATTTCTTAAGAACCGTTTAAGAGATGTTAAAATGTCTTGTGTTCTAGTTACCAAATTTGGACTGAAGTTACCTATATGTCAGTTTCATGTAGCAAAAGAAACAAGTGAGCGATACAGGTCCTCTAGGACACTAGTATTATTAAAAAAAAACACTTGATCTATTACAATGGATAAACATGTTACAATAAGGTTTTCCGGTAGTGCCCATATTGAGTAAATAATTACAATAAAGTTAATTTACAGTGCCCTTACTGAGTAAATATATTACAATGGAGTTTACTTACATCGCCCTTATTGAGTACATATATTACAATTGAGTTTACTTACAGCGCCCTTATTGAGTAAATATATTACAATGGATTTTACTTACAGCGCTCTTATTGAGTTAATATATTACAATTGAGTTTACTTACAGCGCCCTTATTGAGTTAATATATTACAATGGAGTTTACTTACAGCGCCCTTATTGAGTAAATATATTACAATGGAGTTTACTTACAGCGCCCTTATTGAGTAAATATATAACAATGGATTTTACTTACAGCGCTCTTATTGAGTAAATATATTACAATGGAGTTTACTTACAGCGCCCTTATTGAGTAAATATATAACAATGGATTTTACTTACAGCGCTCTTATTGAGTTAATATATTACAATGGAGTTTACTTACAGCGCCCTTATTGAGTTAATATATTACATTGGAGTTTACTCACAGTGCCCTTATTGAGTAAATATATTACATTGGAGTTTACTTACAGCGCCCTTATTGAGTAAATATATTACAATGGAGTTTACTTACAGCGCCCTTATTGAGTAAATATATTATAAGGAAGTTTATTTACAGCGCCCTTATTGAGTAAATATATTACAATGAAGTTTACTTACAGCGCCCTTACTGAGTAAATATATTATAATGAAGTTTACTTACAGCGCCCTTATTGAGTAAATATATTACATTGGAGTTTACTTACAGCGCCCTTATTGAGTAAATATATTATAATGAAGTTTACTTACAGCGCCCTTATTGAGTAAATATATTATAATGAAGTTTACTTACAGCGCCCTTATTAAGTAAACATATTACAGTGAAGTTTACCGGCGGGGCCCCTATTCAGTGTCTGTAGGATCTGTATCAAAGGGTATATTTATAAATTGGTATATTTACAAAGGTGAAAAATGAGAGATTTATATGAAAGTAAACCTTTTCCGTGTGTTACCCAAACAGGTCATACAACTGACTTTCAACAACAATTTTAACGTGGAAACCATCAGCGGCTGTACGTACGATAAAGTCACGGTGTACGACGGGGGTTCACTAAGGGTTATCGGTAAGTCACTAGCGCAGTGATGACGTCACGCTGATGATGGTGACGTATATCCATGGTTTTAATTGCCTACTGTGAGCTATCAACTCACAGAGATATTTATATTAGATGGACCAATATCTATTGTTGATATTTTACTTTGATAACTTATGTTGAGAAAATAGGGTAAAGGATAAAATATTGACTTGTTTTGAAGAAAAATCAAATCTAGCTGATCAGATCATAAATAAACATGTTAAATATTAATAATTAATTTACAATGAGATTTTTTGTTTCTTTTCATGTTAAAAGGTATAGGAACGAGAATCGCTTACGTGTTTATATTGTGTTTTATTATGTAGGACAGTATTGCGGAAGGTCAGCGCCTGCTCCAATCCTGGTAAATAGCAACCACGCTGTAGTGGTGTTCACTTCCGACTCCACTGATGAACACACAGGCTTCCAAATCAACTGGTCAGCTGTTGATGGTGAGGGTCCAGTCATTCTCGAGATCTGATTGATACTGTAATGTTGAACACACAAGAGTTTGATTCGATTTTACGTATTTTCTTTTCTCAATTCATAAACTCGAGGAAAACATTTCATTGAACAAATGTGTCCTATGTGACCGCATTTTCTCTCCGTTATTTTTCCAAAATTGAGTTTAAGCCTAAATATTGATGCAAATACTGACCGCATGGGATAACGACAATTCCAATACAAGACGTCATTTAATTAAAGCATAAGACATCAATACATTGTCTTTCTAATATTCTTAGCATTACGTCCCTCCCCGACGTAACATGTTATATCACTGACGTCATGTCAACATTTCCTCCCTCCCCTACGTAACCTGTTATATCACCGACGTCATGTCAACATTACCTCCCTCCCCGACGTAACATGTGATATCACTGACGTCATGTCAACATTTCCTCCCTCCCCTACGTAACCTGTTATATCACTGACGTAATGTCAACATTACCTCCCGTACGTAACATGTTATATCACTGACGTAATGTCAAAATTACCTCCCTTCCCGACGTAACATGTTATATTTATGTCAACATTACCTCCCTCCCTGACGTAACATGTGATATCACTGACGTCATGTCAACATTACCTCCCTTCCCGACGTAACATGTTATATCACCGACGTCATGTCAACATTACCTCCCTCCCTGACATAACCAATGATATCACTGACGTCATGTCAACATTACCTCCCTTCCCGACGTAACATGTTATATCACTGACGTCATGTCAACATTACCGTCCTCCCCGACGTAACATGTTATATTTATGTCAACATTACCTCCCTCCCTACCATAACCTGTTATATCACTGACGTCATGTCAACATTACCTCCCTCCCCGACTTAACATGTTATATCACTGACATAATGTCATCATTACCTCCCTCCTTGACGTAACCTGTGATATCACTGACGTCATGTTAACATTACCTCTGTCCCCGACGTAACATGTTATAGCACTGACGTCATGTCAACATTACCTCCCTCCCCGACGTAATATGTTATATCACTGACGTAATGTCAACATTCCCTCCCTCCCCGACGTAACAGGTTATATAACTGACGTCATGTCAACGCAACCTCCCTTCCCTGACATAAGCAATGATATTACTGAAGCATGTCATCACTACCTCCCTCCCCGACGTAACAAGTTATATCACTGACGTCATGTCAACATTACCTCCCTCCCCTACGTAACCTGTTACATCACCGACGTCATGTCAACATTACCTCCCCCCCCGACGTAATATGTTATATCACTGACGTAATGTCAGCATTACCTCCCTCCCCGACGTAACATGTTATATTTATGTCAACATTCCCTCCCTCCCTACCATAACCTGTTATATCACTGACGTAATGTCAACATTCCCTCCCTCCCCGACTTAACATGTTATATCACTGACATAATGTCATCATTCCCTCCCTCCTTGACGTAACCTGTGATATCACTGACGTCATGTTAACATTACCTCTGTCCCCGACGTAACATTTTATATCACTGACGTCATGTCAACATTACCTCCCTCCCCGACGTAATATGTTATATCACTGACGTAATGTCAACATTACCTCCCTCCCCGACGTAACAGGTTATATAACTGACGTCATGTCAACGCAACCTCTCTTCCCTGACATAAGCAATGATATCACTGACGTCATGTCAACATTACCTCCCTCCCTGACGTAACATGTGATATCACTGACGTAATGTCAACATTACCTCCCTTCCCGACGTAACATGTTATATTACTGACGTCATGTCAACATTACCTCCCTCCCCTACGTAACCTGTTATATCACCGACGTCATGTCAACACTACATCCCTCCCTGACATAACCAATGATATCACTGACGTCATGTAAACATTACCTCCCTTCCCGACGTAACATGTTATATCACTGACGTAATGTCATCATTACCTCCCTCCTTGACGTAACCTGTGATATCACTGACGTAATGTCAACATTCCCTCCCTCCCCGACGTAACATGTTATATCACTGACGTCATGTCATCATTACCTCACTTCCCGACGCAATATGTTATATCACTGACGTAATGTCAACATTACCTCCTTCCCCGACGTAACATGTTATATAACTGACGTCATGTCAACGCACCCTCCCTTCCCTGACATAAGCAATGATATTACTGAAGCATGTCATCATTACCTCCCTCCCCGACGTAACATGTTATATCACTGACGTCATGTCATCATTACCTCACTTCCCGACGTAATATGTTATATCACTGACGTAATGTCAACATTACCTCCCTCCCCGACGTAACAGGTTATATAACTGACGTCATGTCAACGCAACCTCCCTTCCCTGACATAAGCAATGATATCACTGACGTCATGTCAACATTACATCCCTTCCCGACGTAACATGTTATATCACTGACGTCATGTCATCATTACCTCCCTTCCCGACGTAACATGTTATATCACTGACGTCATGTCAACATTACCTCCCTCCCCGAGTTACTTGTGATATCACTGACGTCATGTCAACATTACCTCTGTCCCCGACGTAACCTGATATATTACTGAAGCATGTCAACATTACCTCCCTTCCCGACGGAACATGTTATATCACTGACGTCATGTCATCATTACCTCCCTTCCCGATGTAACATGTTATATCACTGACGTTATGTCAACATTACCTCCTTCCCCGACGTAACATGTTATATAACTGACGTCATGTCAACGCAACCTCCCTTCCCTGACATAACCAATGAGATCACTGACGTCATGTCATCATTACCTCCCTTCCCGACGTAACATGTTATATCACTGCCGTCATGCCATCATTCCCTCCCCCCCCGACGTTACATGTTATATCACTGACGTCATGTCAACATTGCCTCCCTTCCCGACGTAACATGTTATATCACTGACGTAATGTCAACATTACCTCCCTTCCCGACGTAACATGTTATATCACTGACGTCATGCCATCATTACCTCCCTCCCCGACGTTACATGTTATATCACTGACGTCATGTCAACATTACCTCTGTCCCCGACGTAACCTGTTATATTACTGAAGAATAACATTACCTCCCTTCCGACGTAACATGTTATATAACTGACGTCATGTCAACGCAACCTCCCTTCCCTGACATAACCAATGATATCACTGACGTCATGTCATCATTACCTCCCTTCCCGACGTTACATGTTATATCACTGACGTCATGTCAACATTACCTCCCTTCCCGACGTAAACTGTTATATTTATGTCAACATTACCTCCCTCCCTGACTTTTCCGAATAATACTTCTATCTTTAACTTAAAAGTAAATTTAAAGATTTAACTTGATAATATTGTATGTCTCTCTACTCCTAACTTAAACTCAATAATACTAAGCATTATCTCACCTATTTTTTCTGTTTTTAACTCATATTGTTTCTCTCTTTTGCTACATATTTTGTCTGTATTTCTCTGTTTAGCTGGTTCCTCCGTCACCACTGCGCGACCAGGGTCTGCCAGCACATGTACGAAGGACATTCATTTTACCTCCCAGGGAGTAATCACCAGTCCCGGGTTTGGCCTCCATAGTACCTACCCAGCTGAAAGTCATTGTATCTGGAGATTATTTGCTCCATCCGGAAACATAATCCGGCTCCACTTTACTAGTTTTGGTGTTGAAGGAGGCCGTTCATGTCCGTTCGATGCCGTCCATGCTTTTGATGGTCCGTCATCTTCTGGAACCGAATTGGCGAATGTTTGTGGTAACCATATACCAGCAGACATCCTTTCCAAGACGAATGTGATGTTCGTAAGCTTCAACTCTGACGCTGATACACAGGATATTGGCTTCAATGCTACTTACACCGTGGAAAAAGTACAAGGTATTTCGCGTGTATTTGGAGGCGACGAATTTCTGTTAGCTTACAGCTATTTATCCCATTCTGTTTAATAATGTTTTATGTCTTATATCAAATTGTACATTTCATAGATCGATTTCACTCTCTCATTAGGTAAAGATGCGTGTCACTTTGATGTGACAATGTAGAATAGTGATGTGGGCCGGTGCCGAATGGTTTTAAAGATGCGTGATTGACTTTTGTAAAGTGTATAGAGTGTACATCTGTATTCCGTAACATCTTTCTTGTTGCTGAAGGCTAAAACAGAACACAGAGAGATGATAACTTATATGTACTTAACCTTTCTATTCTAAAGTGTCTCCCGTGACGCAATTGACTGACGCAGCATGTCATGCCTCGACTGCGCCGACGCTAAACAGCACTTCCGGTGTGATTCTTTCGGAGGGACGCGAAGACGGTCATCGTTACCCTGACAACCTTAATTGTCGTTGGGCAATTAACGCTCCACCTGGGAAAGTCATCACATTAACCTTTAACGTATGTAGTCTGTAATTAAACTTTGATCTCTGATTAGCTATATAATAGTAAGAATATTAAATGTTAATATTATCAACAATTACACACCATAATCTTTCGTTGCCAAAAAAACAAAAATAAATCACATACATATTTATGATTTGTTCACAGTTCAGCAAAATCTGGATTTCACTCTTCCAAATAGACATTCTCGGATCAATATGTATAAGTGCATCGATTGTATTGTATGTTATTCTTTGTTTGTTTGTTTTTGATTTTTTGTTTTTGCTATATTTTTGTCATTGTTTGTTATCCTATATCGTTGTCATTGTATGTTTTGTCTGTCGACACCGCTCATCATTACTACAAATGGCGTCGTATCACGAAACATACCAACACATACTATATAATACTTTGTGATAGTGATCTAACCATCTAATATTCTAGCATATGGTAAAAATATCGTTTATGACTTTGTGCCTTTCTGACTGTCCAGGATTTTGACGTGGAGAAGGACAGTAACTGTGACTACGATTATCTTAAGATATATGACGGCTCTTCAGCGCATGCGCACATAATAGAAACGTACTGTGGTATTACATACCCAAGCAAACTAACATCTACTGGGAATCAGATGTATATCCGGTTCCATACTGACGACAGCGAGGGAAGTTCCGGTTTCAATATTACATACACCGTCCATGACCCAATTGGTAAGTAATTATTAAAATGACATGCATCAGACGTCGAGAAAAAATTCAACAGTATGAATCTTAAGGAATTGGAGAAGGGACGATGTGAAACGGAAGTGATTTTATATTATTCTAAATAACCTTTTTTTTTTTTTTTTTTTTTTTAAAAGATTGGTAAATCTATATTGTGTACAGGTTCCTATAGCACAGCCAGTGAATTGTTTATGTGTGATGTTCTGATGACTAGTACCATTAGATAAAGAACCAGTGACGCGGTACAAAGGTGGACCAAAACAACCATTTATTCTGTCGCTTCATTTAAACCTGTAACTGGAAATCTACGCAGTGAATAAAAAATACCGTTCTGGTTGGACAATACTACCAGTGATGTCTTTACATGTGAAGTTGTAACACAAAATTTTGAAAATCTGATAATTCACAAGTAAAAATGTATTCAATATTTAGATCACCATGTTTATCGGGAAAAAAAGCCCTGTCATATTTTTGATGTATTGTAACTCTATCAAATCATAATGAACTGGCTTAACACACTTTTAGATTAGAGTAATTCGTCACAATGGAAACACGTGTAGAATTAAAAAAAGGTTTATGGAAGTCGTAAGAGGGTGAAAAAAATCTGATATCAAATGAAAGTTTCATGGAATTCTTGTATTTATCATGTTATTATGTTGTTATCCACCGGGACCTGAGAATTTTTACAGCTTTATTTGGACATGACACCCCAATGATCATATATACGAGGAGGGCGGAAAGCTCTCGTTGTCGAAAAGTCCACCCCATCTAACTTTCTTGCATCAATTACAACATTTGTAGTTGATTCACGGAAAAATGTTTAGTACCGTTGGAAAGATGGATACTTTTTCTTTTAAAAACCTCCTATATGCACGTAAAATGTATTCGCCTTCCGCGGACATGAACTCCGTTTCTTCCAAAAACACATGCCATTTCAGAGTTTCAAAGTTTTTCGCAGTCAGCCTGCCACTTTTTTTAATATTAATGAGGGTGAATGTGGGGGAAATTGAGGAAAACGGTGAAAATACATGGTTTTTAAAGAAAATTATCAGGCTTGGGGGGTTTCCTGAAGCCCAAAAAACCCCTCTGGATCCGCCACTGTTATCTTTTATCATATTCTTGTTTACAAGCAACATCATATGTCTGTCCAATCAGGATAAAGTCTACGGTACCCTAGTTGGTACACTGCCAGAAAATGGTTCAAGGCGGACGTTCTGTTACATTGTATCAAACAGAGGACCAACACAAGAAACTCTAATGAAGTGTTGAATTTAGTATTTGATATTATCATCATTATTGTTATTATTTTGGCACATTCCACTTATAAAAGCTGTTAGGTATTTTATTAATATAAAAATATCAGTTTAGATTCCAAAAATTACCACATTCTGTTTGCCCCAAGTGAAACTCTGCCTGACTCCTGGACTGTGTAAAGGTGAAGCCACGACGATGTGAATTAATGCAACATGTATGGTGCACTTGTGAAATATATAAAATTGAAAAACGACAGCAGAAACTGGAAGCAAAGACAACTTGTCAGAGATGTAAATAGAATGAGTGGGAAGGATGGGATTTAAGCTATTGCCGTATTTGTTTGAGTATTTCCAATATAATGTTCTCTACCTCCAAGACGAAAGATTTCCAATTTCCATATGCTTGTCTAATTTATACATGGTTTCAAAAACAGAAATGATTTTATTTTGGTTTTTAAGCTCATTTTGAAAACAGCAAACTATATTTGTGATTTACCATACCCCTTATGGTACCCCCAGAAACCCACTTTCGGTCAAAGTTTTACCTTAGTTTTTCCGCATGTCATACAATAGGTCATCTTTGAACAAAATAAGGAGGTGAAAATCCGAAAAAAGGCCTTATAGACACCCTTCCAAATTAGTGTCATATTAAAAAACCCCATCCAAAAACATAAAATCCAAACCTTTTGAAAATGAACCAACTTGGGCTGTCTGTGTGTAAAAAAAAAGAGAGAAATGTTCCAGATCTGTGAATTGGAATTATAAATATCTCGGAAAAACTGTCAAAATTGTATCAATCAGGGTAGCGTCAGGTTAAAACGATACTAATAAATAAAGCCCGCACACATTCATGTAGCCAATGACGACGTTTAAACCTCTTATTCTGTAGCCACATGTTCACCCAGCCAGTTTACCTGTTCGGACGGCAAGTGTATCAGTTACAGCGCTGTATGTGATAAACACCGCGACTGTACTAACGGAGGCGACGAACAGCTTTGTGGTAAGTTTATATTATTCAGTTTGGAATGAAAACATCTTGTGAACATTTATTACACACAGCCATGACTTGGGTTTTTCTGGAAACGCTTTACATCTCGTCCCTTCATCAGACGACCTTCTGCTCCTTTTCTCAGTTCGTCTTAGTGTATCACGCGGTTGTGCGATGGTACGCGGTGTTTGATGACCAATACAGTTAACTAGCTGTTATACGAAATGCATTTCTTTCGTCTTTTGTTTTATATTTTGGTGGTGCTCTTTACAACGAACAACATCTCTTCTTCCCAACCTCTCTTGTGTATGATTTATCATGGCTTTTGAAAATGTTGGGTGGGTATTACTTCTACAAAGACGGCCATGCCTCAAGCTAGGTTATGTTACCTCACCACGTGTCTTCGTTCTCAGAGGATTACACGAATGGGTCGTTCTATAATACTAATCTGGGTTTTGGGTTAATTAATAAAATTGATGACTTCTTTGAAAAGCACACAATAATTCATGTACATATAATTACCATGACACGTTTTAAAGGGAGATAATCCAATACAAATTTCAGGTATTGTGAATACACTCAGTGCTATAGTCGGATAAAGGTGGCCGATCGCCATCGAAACTTCGCGAATAAAACAACATATATGCGTATTTTTATTAGTTTTCGTTCGTTTCAAGATTTTTGGATATAGGAAAAGAGCATTTCCACTGCAATCGTAAAATATCGGATATGACTTTACCAGGATATGTTTATTTAGTTCTTGCTGTCTTTAGCTTCCAGTGCTACGTGCGGCCGACCTGCCATTACGCCATCGCTCGGGAACAACAAAATTGTCGGAGGAAAAGAGGCTGTTCCGAACAGTTGGCCTTGGCAAGCGTCACTGACGTTTGGACCACTCCATCAACACCTTTGTGGAGCCACCTTAATTAGTCCTCATTTTGCAATTACAGCAGCACATTGCTTCGAGGAGTAAGTGTACAAAGAAGTGTCATAACCTTTTATCGAAATACTAATGAAAGTATATTCATATTAGCGCGATCAATGTTAAGTCACCTGCGTCATTATTGACACATTCGTATGCATATGATTTAATTTGATGCCAGGAGAATATATTGTAATGTTTGACCGCAGTGATCGCACACCTCGCCACTGGCAGATTGTGTTTGGAAAACACCACCTAAAGCAAAATGACCCCCACCAAGTCACAGTGGATATAGCCAAGATCATGGTGCACGAACATTACGACCCCGACGCTACCAGCAATGACATCACACTGTTAAAACTGGCCACACCCGTACACCTGAATGACTACGTCAATATAGCCTGTCTGCCGTCACAAGCAGTCAGTGACAACCAGGAGTGTTACACCACCGGATTTGGTGAAGTTCTAGGTATTATTAACTGATTTTGATAACATTCTATGTATAATCTGATAGCTTTCTATATTTGATTTGAGGATGTTTGGTATATGATGTGGTGACGTTCTATGTATGATGTGGTGACGTTCTATGTATTATGTGGTGACGTTCTATGTATGATGTGGTGACGTTCTATGTATGATGTGGTGACGTTCAATGATTGGTTTCCATAGTTAATTTATATTAATATTAATATATTCGTATTCGTGCCACAGTCAGCTTTTTATATTTAAGTTATCGTGATTACGTCATCGCCTTTGATATTTGATCGACCGAAAGAAAGATAATTCCTATTCGATCTGATCAATTCATACCTTTATTTCTTCCAGTTTTAAAATGTGCCTTATTAATATAAACTTACCTGCCTCTAAGGTCTAATGCTCATAGATGCCTGTTTCAACTGGCGTGACGCTCGAATACCTGTGTGGAGGATTGTCGTTTTCTACGGAAAGTTTACAGTATTTGATGGTGTAACAGATATGTAATAACATCCGGTTCAATTTATAGTTGTAGTTTACTTTGATTAGTTGATAAAAAATAAAAACCGATCAAAATAACTGATTTCATCGACAAAGTTTTTTTATTTTTTTATTTCTTCTTAAAGGGACATGCTGCGCTGATGTTCTAAAACAGGCTGCCCTACCTATAGTAAATATCAACACCTGTAACAGTTCGAGCTATCTGGATGGACAGGTGTTAGATACAATGATCTGTGCAGGCTACTCAAAGGGCGGTCACGACTCTTGCCAGGTACCTACCACAACGGTTCTAGTTGTACTTAAGTAGATATGCCACCGTATTATGTGTCTTCCTTCTTAGAGAGTTACATACAATGATGTTTGTAAATGACCGATCATCGATACTAAATTGGACTTCCGGTTATTCAATAAAATTGATGGCCCCCTTTGAAAAGTTCACAATAATTCATGTACTAATATGACGCGGTCATTGTGAATTATGAGATAACCATAATGACATGATTGAACGGGAGATTCTAACACAGGTATTGTATATGTATGCTTGTAAAATACAAACTGATAATTATGTATTACTCAGAGTAACATAAATGTTTTTAACAAATTTGTCACACAAAACTGTAAATATTTAGTAAAACATCATATAATTTAATCTTTTTTGTGATATCATTAATGATTAGAATTAGAAATAGCCATACAATTCTTTAACTGAATTTATGATCTCATAAACTCTTGTTAATGATATCATAAATGCGCTTGGATGACATTATAGTACATAGTAAATGATAACATAAGATGTATTATATATTTCGTGAATAAATACCAAAATGGCGCCCATACGGACATGTATGCGAACCAGGATAAAATAATGCACATGTTACAAAGATAGAAAATAATCACATCTTTTGTGACGTTTTTTGTCATCTATATTATTTGATTAGTACTCAGTAATAATACTTTTTTTTCTGAGAGGCAAGTAAAACATTAATTTGCAAACTTCAGTATCATTGATTTTATTCATTGTTCAGTGTAGTTACCATTACAAATTGTTTATACCTATAAATAAGAAATTCACAGCGTCAGAGATACGGTTATTTCTTTTTGGCGACATATTTCACGTGATTTCATTGCATTACGACTTTGTCATTGTCAGGGTGACAGTGGTGGCCCCTTGGTATGTAATAATGGCGGGAAATGGCAGCTAGAAGGAATCGTGTCCTGGGGAATAGGCTGTGGAGGTATGCCATATGGGATTATTCCCGCTACTTTGATGTTGTCAATCCGAATATTTTTCAAAATTCTTACCAATTCGATCCTGTCTAAAACTCAAGTAAACCTACTGTTTTATCAAAATTCCATGCAAATAAAAATTACTATTTATATTTTACTTAAACATGAATTAAATATAATATATTGTGTTACGTTTTCTAGTGTACGTTGTTAGAACCGCCTTTTGTTATAGTACAGTCTCTACATTTATGCAGGTGTTTTTTCTGACTCTAACCAGCCCGGTGTTTACACTCGAGTATTTATATATATCTATAATATGTAGTAACTCTGATGGTGTTGTTACACTCGAGTATTTATATATATATATATAATATGTAGTAACTCTGATGGTGTTTACACTCGAGTATATATATATATATATAATCTGTAGTAACTCTGAGGGTGTTGTTACACTCGAGTATTTATATATATATATAATAAGTAGTAACTCTGATGGTGTTTACACTCGAGTATATATATATATATATATATATATATAATATGTAGTAACTCTGATGGTGTTGTTACTCTCGAGTATTTATATATATATATATATATATATAATATGTAGTAACTCTGATGGTGTTGTTACACTCGAGTATTTATATATATAATAAGTAGAAAATCTGATGGTGTTTACACTCGAGTATATATATATATATATATAATATGTAGTAACTCTGATGGTGTTGTTACACTCGAGTATTTATATATATATATAATATGTAGTATCTCTGATGGTGTTGTTACACTCGAGTATTTATATATATATAATATGTAGTAACTCTGATGGTGTTGTTACACTCGAGTATTTATATATATATAATAAGTAGTAACTCTGATGGTGTTTACACTTGAGTATATATATATATATAATATGTAGTAACTCTGATGGTGTTTACACTTGAGTATATATATATATATATATAATATGTAGTAACTCTGATGGTGTTTTTACCCTCGAGTATTTATATATATATATATATATAACATGTAGTAACTCTGATGGTGTTGTTACACTCGAGTATTTATATATATATAATATGTAGTAACTCTGATGGTGTTGTTTCAGATCCTAACCAGCCCGGTGTTTACACCCGAGTATATAAGTATGTACAGTGGGTCCAGGAACACATAGCAGCTAACTCCTAACATTATTGGACATGCCGTATTATGGTGTAATGGGAAACTTAGATTAAGACAATTTCGATAAAAAACAACTACTACAAATTTTCTGTTGACTTTTTTGTTGTTTTGTTTTGTTATCTCCGACAAAGTGATACAACGTGCAACCCGTAAACGTCCAAAGTGTTTGACGAGGACGTAACAGAGTTATATATAGTAACAACTGGGGGTGGAGACCCATCGTCCCTGCAATGAATTCACTTCCATAGTGGCGGTAAGGATCCTGGGATGGATACCTTAATGGTATGCAACAGTGTTCATCAGGGAAAGCAGAGCAAATGAAAACAGAAATGATGAGCAACAACGCCACTGAATCCGGTACAAAATGTAATGTTTGATACACATCCTTCGTGCTGACATGTTTCGGCCAAAGGGAGGCCGTCTTCAGTTACACAGTTACATGATGTTTGCAACTATGGTACAATTACAAAAACTGTGACGTCATCAAGTTGCTAAGAGTTACAGCCTGAAAGGGGGAAAAGGTTTAGCCATTTTTGATTGGTGCATAATAGAATAAGTGCTAAATGATTTAAGTATGATGCACTAAAAGATTATATAAAAATATCGTAGTAAATGTGAATGTATGAGTTGTAGTATTACAGTATTGTCAATGTATGAGATGATTAAAGGAACAGAAATAAGGGAGAGTAAACGTAAAATCAAATGTTTCAAACGTGCTCAAACAAGAAAAACTCTAAGGTTATTGTTTTGTCTCTTAAGGAACGGAAATTGTAATAAAAATAACATTAAGCATGATTAAATTGTCAGAACAGGGTATACGTCAATAGGCGTGTGAGCAGTTCTAAAATGTTCGATTAGGGTAAGCCCCGAAGAAGAAAAGGTCCTTGCATCAGTGAGTTCTGTAGGGTAATCCTGTGGTATCAGTGATAAGAATATCAAGTTGTATAGAGGGTTGGTACAGTATAGTATGAGCAAGTCGTGTTCTGAGGCTGGCAACAATCTGTTGTGTGAGAAAAAAGGACGTATTCCACAGAATCTCTCATTTAACTCATACTCCTGCCACGCTCCTTGTTTGTTTAGTACCGCAGCAATCAAGTCATTGTCATACCAGACTGGAAATTAACAATTTGTAATCTTCATTTTGGTACACATTTTAAAATAGCAGAATTTAAAATATCATAAAAGCGATTAAAATAATCATTGAAAGAATTAGAGTTACAAATGAAAGACTAATCGGCTAGATAAAGGAGACGTTTCATCTGAATATAATCAGTTTTTTAAGTCGTAGTTCTCATATATTGTACAAATATTTTTTTGTGCATGATTATTTACAAGGTAGATAATCAATGTGTGTTAATTTGTAATTACAGGTATTCAATGTGTGTACATGGTTAATTACAAGGTAGATGATCAATGTGTGTTAAGGTAGCAGTGTACAGTAGCGTACGGTGACCATGGGTGATATTTTTGTACAATGAATGACCCCTGTAATAGCACATGTATCAAATTATAACCAGCACTAAAATGATGAAGTGGACTATGTGGGCTTCATAATTTTTCAAAAATAAATAATCGAATTTGGTTTGAGACTACAGTTTTGGGCATTTACAAATCTGTGTCTACACAACAAAAGCTAGCTTTTCATGTAGTCTATTTTTGTACTCAGCACATGTGTAAATATTGTGAAAAATCCACCGGATGGCCTATGCTAAAACGTGAGTATTTCTATTACCGAGTTGGCGATATTTAATTTCAGACAGGTTTTAAGAAAAAAAATGCTACTTGCAGGGGTCAAATTTTTGGTTAAATATCATATTATTTTGCATTTTTTTCTCTCTACTACCCTAGTTTGTACATGGTTAATTACAAGGATGGTAATCAGTGTACATGGTTAATAACAAGGGAGGTAATCAATATGTGTACATGGTTAATAATAAGGGAGGTAATCAATGTGTGTATATTGTTAATAACAAGGGTGGTAATCAATGTATGTACGTGGTTAATTACAAGGGAGGTAATCTATGTGTGTACATGGTTAATTACAAGGGAGGTAATCAATGTATGTACTTGGTTAATTACAAGGGAGATAATCAATGTATGTACATGGTAATTACAAGGGAGGTTATCAATGTGTGTACATGGTTAATTATAAGGGAGGTAATCAATGTATGTACTTGGTTAATTACAAGGGAGATAATCAATGTGTGTACATGGTTAATCACAAGAGAGGTAATCAATGTGTGTACAAGGTTAATTACAAGGGAGGTAATCAGTGTACATAGTTAATTTCAAGGGAGGTTATCAATGTGTGTACATGGTTAATTATAAGGGAGGTAATCAATGTATGTACTTGGTTAATTACAAGGTAGATAATCAATGTGTGTTAATTTGTAATTACAGGTATTCACTGTGTGTACATGGTTAATTACAAGGGATGGAATCAATGTGTGTACATGGTTAATTACAAGAGAGGTAATCAATGTGGGTACATGGTTAATTACAAGGGAGGTTATCAATGTGTGTACATGGTTAATTATAAGGGAGGTAATCAATGTATGTACTTGGTTCATTACAAGGGAGATAATCAATGTATGTACATGGTAATTACAAGGGAGGTTATGAATGTGTGTACATGGTTAATTACAAGGTAGATAATCAATGTGTGTTAATTTGTAATTACAGGTATTCACTGTGTGTACATGGTTAATTACAAGGGAGGTAATCAATGTATGTACGTGGTTAATTACAAGGGAGGTAATCTATGTGTGTACATGGTTAATGACAAGGGAGGTAATCAGTGTACATGGTTAATTACAAGAGAGGAAATCAATGTGTGTACATGGTTAATTACAAGGGAGGTAATCAGTGTACATGGTTTATTACAAGAGAGGTAATCAATGTGTGTACATGGTTAATTACAAGAGAGGTAATCAATGTGTGTACATGGTTAATCACAAGAGAGGTAATCAATGTGTGTACATGGTTAATTACAAGAGAGGTAATCAATGTGGGTACATGGTTAATTACAAGGGAGGTAATCAGTGTACATGGTGTATTACAAGAGAGGTAATCAATGTGTGTACATGGTTAATTACAAGGGAGGAAATCAATGTATGTACTTGGTTAATTACAAGGGAGGTAATCAATGTGTGTACGTGGTTAATTACAAGGGAGGTAATCAATGTGTGTACATTGTTAATTACAAGGGAGGTTATCAATGTGTGTACATGGTTAATTACAAGGGAGGTAATTAATGTGTGTACATGATTAATTACAAGGGAGGTAATCAATGTATGTACATGGTTAATTACAAGGGAGGTAATCAATGTATGTACGTGGTTAATTACAAGGGAGGTAATCAATGTGTGTACATGGTTAATTACAAGGGAGGTAATTAATGTGTGTACATGATTAATTACAAGGTAGATAATCTATGTATGTACATGGTTAATTACAAGGGTGGTTATCAATGTACGTGGTTAATTACAAGGGATGTAATTAATGTGTGTAAATGGTGACTTACAAGGTAGATAATCAATGTGTGTACATGGTTAATAACAAGGGAGGTAATCTATGTGAGTAAATGGTGACTTACAAGGTGAATAATCCAAATTTTGCAAGGATTTTACTATTCATAATAATAAAGTATTTGAAAATGAATCGTACAGGAATAATTCGCAAATATACATCGATTCACTGTTTATGTGGTTTATAACGAAGTAAGACACAATGGCCACGTAGACTACCTTGTCCAGAAATCAACCTATGTTTTATTAAACGTATTGTCAACCACTTAGTGAGAAGTGTCGTGTCGCCCACACCTCGACACGTTTACTAGAGTGGTGTTTGATAGACACCTGATAATAAAGTCAGGATGGAGTTATCGACCACTCCAGAAACAGCCAGTTTAATATCACTTGTCACGGAGAGAGAAGGGAGGTCATTTGTGTTGAGCCGCTTGTCGACTCACAACACTAAGTGAGAAAACAAATCGCTGATTTCTTGACAAGGTCTTCTTGATTAGAGGCGACTTTCTCGGCTTTTGAATCCCCTGTGCATCATTGGAACAACTTTTAGTAATTTAGTTAGACTGGAAACGCTAAGCCATGCCATATACAAGACACCATTACGAAACCTTTCTTACACTAAGGACAAAGTGACAGTTGTTGGTCCTTCGGGTATTCTTAGTGATATTTCATCACAACTGTTTGAAAAATAATTGACAATTTTTACCAATTCATCGTGTAAGGCGTTTTAACAAACAGTCTATACAGAAAACGCGCCAATTCTGATTAATCTATTTTTGGCCTTTCTAGGAATTCAATAACTACAGATCCGTGAGGTTATAATTCGTATAACGGACATTGTACATGTAGAAAATCAACAATTCCAGAGAAGGTATGACACAAACAATCTCTACGCGGTGGATCCGGTTGAATTATGCTTTTGACCAAACTCCTCGGTAAGATCAGCTATGTCCGTTACTCATGTACGGTCACCGTTGGATGCCGGCTTGATACATCATCGCAACCTGCCATTGATAATTGTTCTTAACATAAATCAGAAAAATATGACCTCTTTCGGAACAAATGTTGGACCTATCTTCTAACGGATTGGTTAAAACGTCAGATCCGATACAAATAGGACTTTATTACAAGTTATAGCTACTTTTTGAAAGAGATCAGAACTGCAGAGAGGGTGATGAAGGTCTTAGTCATGCGGTTAGTTGTGAAGTTGAAAAGCAACAGGTTACAAACTTTGCTGATCTTAGCAAGGAGTTTGATAAAATAAACTATAGAAAAAATATATCGGCCAAAATTGATAAGAAACTTGAGCGAATCTTTACCGGTTTCTTTCCAGACTTGATGAGTCAGGCCAGAATAAGTCAGTTGAAAGTCAAAGTTAAGGTAAGGACAGAGGTCAAGGCCTGAAGTCATATTTAGCGGTAGTGGTAACCGGGTCACCTATATAATAACCAGAAACCAGGTCAAGACAATAAAACATGAATCAAACGACCACCCAAACAATTAAGGGTATCTGCTAGAGTCCGAGTTGAGACCGGTAACAAATCTACGGGTCAAGGTCAC